AGACTGAGCTTCGTCTGGTCCCTACCCATTGACATTTCAGGCATGCTTGGATCTGCGGCAGTAAGGAGCCATTCTGTATAGCTCGCTGGGGCATGGAGGCACGCAAGCCATCACACCAGGTCAAGGTGCAGTCTTGTCATGATGGTTACTCTCCCTCAGTCGATAAGGATCTACTCAGTTTGAAAGGTGATAGCTGTGCTGTATGACAACCGTTCGGTTGATGTGAGAACAATCAGGCAAACGATAGAACTTGTCTATCGGGACTCCACTGATTTCGTTTTTTTCTTTTTCTTCTATTCAGTCGGTCGTGAACCATTTTCTCCATGCTGTTATCACAATCGAAGGCAACATAATGTTCATTCTAGTCATTCATTCATTCGTTGATTCGATCAATCAGCAGCATGTGATGGGCAAAAAAACAAATATATAGTTTTCCGATGACATTCATATCAATCCCCATCACAGACACACACACACACACTTGGCCACCGAAAATATCAGTGTTTATCAGATTATCAGAATATGATCAGAATATGGTACCCATATGTCCTCATGCAAGTCTTCAACAGCCGTAGGCACAATTCTAAGACAAACACGTAGACAATAGATTAGAGGTCTATCAGTGCAGCAGTTCAGCACAGAGGCAAGTGTGACGCGGTGGGTGAGTGGGCAGAGAATGGACTCACTGGGGAATTTGGGGTGGACGGGTGGTGAATGACGAGCAGAAATTAATATGTGTTCACAAACTCCTCCCCCCCGCCCCTGGGGAAAAGTATACGACAATAATTAATACCGTCTAATATTCCATACAACAGATGAATGAGTGTTACCGTTGTTGTTATGTTCATTAAACGGGGGCACACACCCTATTATGGTTGTTACGTACGAGAGAGAGAGATCAGCTGTGCGAAATGAAACGACCAAAATGCGAGAGCACAACAACAACAAAAAAAATACCCCGGCTAGTCGCACAAATTTGACGGATCACTCAGACAGCGAGCAAGAGCGTCGAAAACAAGACTGTTGTGCTATCACACACACACACACACACACACACACACACACAGTGCCTTTGTATGCCCGTGGGGAAGGACGAATCAGAGAAGGGCGGGAGAGCAGGGTTAGACGAGTGGTGGTGAAGAAGAGTAAAACCGATAAATCATGTGGCGACGAAAAGTGCTGCGAACAGAATCACGGTTCCTTTTTCTCACATCCGCAGAAAGTGTGATTTAATAAATTGGCTCAACAAGATTTATTCTTTTCTTCATAATCATTGTTCAAAAAAATTTCCTGTTGGTTTCACTAAATATTTACACGGGAATAAATCTTCTTGTGAATTGATTTGATAAACTAATAACTAAATAACTATGCATCAAAGCTCAATGTTTTGTTCACTTCTCAGCCAATTGTGTGTTTACGACTAAAGGACAAAATGCCGGATTCTGCCGTCTCATTTTGTGTGTACTCATATACGTGTTCCTGTAGAACCACGTACATAGGCCGCACGGTCAGGCGTTTGTCCGAACGAATCCGTGAGCACCATCCCGCATGCCTAAACACAGGAACGAATGAGTCACTCACTACAGTGCAGTGGTTTCACACCTAGTTGAAACAAATCACACTGTGAATGTGACCGAGGCATTCCGTCTATGTATCGGGTTCGTGGTCGATTATCAAGGCAGATTCGCTGTCGTGTGCTAGCCACAGCGGAAGCGGTAGGGATTCGTCTGCACAATTCCCGTGTGCCCAAAGACAATTTGTGCAGGCACTAGAGCTCCCCTAGCCCACCCCCTATACACTCCATATTCCGAGTGGTCCCAACGACCGGATGGCCAAACAATTATGTGATCATTGAGAAGTCCATATCCGGTTTCAAGATGAACTTAGCCCCGGATAACCCATGAGGTTATTTTCTCTTTCCCGAAATATTTGTTTGCGTTTTTTATGGTTGAATACTGATTTATGTATAAACAGCGTAATATTTATTGTGATGTATTTGGCATGATTACGAATCAGTGAAAACGAGGTTGTTCGCCACTCCTTGTTCTATTTGAAATGTGCTCTGTGGAACTGTTTAGCTAATATATTAGAATTTAGGTGGTGAATTTGAGCTGAAAAGCTGGGAAGCATGGGCCAGCTGCTTCGATCTGGGTCGATCTGATCACCAGTGCGAATACATCGACCTAACTGGGGATCGCGAACCCCAGACCTCACAGGTGGAACCTACTTGGCCACCGGGCAGCTGATCAGACCGCTTGCTATTTTGAATATACACGATATAGCAGAACCCATCTATGCGAGCTTGTTTCGAGTATCGGTCCTCGGTTGTCATCTCAGCACTAACCAGTTTACATCATCGGTCCTATGGAACAGGCAAATAGTTGTAAAATATAAGATGTTGTAAAGAACTCACAGACATGGAAAAGAACTTCTGATGAAGTATACACTCAAGGTTCGGTTTCTATACGAGGAAAATATGCCGAAAGTTGGTGCAGTTACACGGTTTCATTGTCGAGCCCCTCCCCCTTTCTAGCGGATGAACTAACTCATAGTTTGGGGTAGAAAGATATGAATGTACATATATAATCCAAATCCGTCAATCAAACAGAGGGGGGAGGAAGGGAGCAAGGGAGGGAGTTAGTAATAAAAGTTCAAATCGAGCATAAATCTATGCAATTCACCGCACATCTCGTTCCCAGATTTACTACTGAACATAAAATTCGATACCGAACAGTCTTGTCACGCAGAGAAGATATGATTCGTTCAGTGTGACAGATTCGACACGGTTTTGTGTTCGGAGGATAAATAAAATCTGTTCACCAGAAACGCTAAAAGAACCAACTGCAATCCATTGCAAACATTCTGCCTAGGGAAAGATTATCCGGGGCAATTCATGCATCAAAATGTGAATGAACCGAACCCGTTCCATTCAAAGGTGATTGCTAATCCCAAATTCTTGGTGTACATATCAAAGCAGCCGGAAATTCTTTCGTGAAATTGTGCAATTCATTCAATCATTCGTCCATGATAAACACAT